AAAACTCAATTAAAAAATTTTTTTGGTGAAAAATCATGATTTTTATCGAAAATTATCAGTTTTTCCTTGAAAACGCTATAATAATCAACTTCAATCGTTCTCGCTATATTTTTTTTGTAATCTACACGCAAAATTACGTAAAAGTGTATACACTGCGACCTGAGTTTAGCGGCAGGTTTGGTGGGTCGTTCGCTAAACTCAGTAATGAGATTTCCCGAAATCGGCGTCAGCAATCAGGGCCGTAAGAACAACTTGAAATACGAAATCCTTAAACTCTTTTTTTGAAAATTCTTCATCTTATAATACATAATATTTTTATTGCAATAATTATTATAATTATATTTTAATTTTTAGATTTTATTATAATTATAAACAGTAATAAGTAATACTTAAAATTACTTTTAATAAAAATTCAAATAATTGTACTGACATCAGACAAGAAAGGGGAAAAACTCACCATTTGCCTTATAAATTTTAAATTTATTTGAAATTAAATAATATAAATTTCATCAAATATAACATTGAGAGCAAATATTAAAATTAAGATTTTCATAAAGTAAATTTATAAATTTGCTGGGAGTGAAAACAAAAATAAAATTTGTATACATGTATATAAATAAGCTTTTATAATTTATCAAATTTTTTATTTAAAATTAAAGATTAAAGAACCTTGTACCTCCCAGACAAACGTCTCCGCTTGGTACTCATTTTCAACTAGAAGGATCCGCGTTGCCTTACTTCTACGCTCCTGCTCGAGTCGGAGCATCTTACGCTTACCGCTTAATTACCATCCTATTGTTGCCGTTTCCGAGATTTCGCTAAAGTCAGTTTCGCTAAACTCGGGTCGCAGTGTATATTTGAAACTCTTTAGATAAAATTTTCTTCGGTTTCTGAGGAAAATTCATGCTTTTAAACGAAAATTATCAGTTTTTCCTTGAAAACGCTATGATAATAAACCCGAATCGTTCTCGCTATATTTTTTCTATAATCTATACGTAAAAATACGTAAAAAAGTATAAATTTGGATCTCTTAGGATAAAATTTTCTTCTTTTTTTATTCGAAAAATCCGTGATTTTTTCTAAAAATATGAGTTTTCCTTAAAAACAATATGATCATCAACTCCAATCGTGCTCGCTATATTTTTCCTGTAATCTACACGCAAAAATACGTAAGTATACCAAATATGAACTGTCTTGGTCAAATACTGTGTGCGCTAGGTGGATTAAACGCTTTTTTTCAAAATTTTTGATTTTTCCTTGACAACGCTATGTAAATTGATCCGAATCATGTTCGCTATATTTTTCCTGTAATTTTCACGTAAAAATACATAAGTGTACCAAATTTGAGCTCTCTATGTAAAAAGATGTGGCAACCAGAGGGAGGGTAGGTACATAGTCATTTTCAGGGATTTTTCGTAAAAATTCATGGTTTTTCCTTGACAACGCTATGATAATCAATTCCTATGAGATTCGCTATATTTTTCCTGTAATCTACACGCCAAAATACATATGTATACCAAATTTCAGCCCTCTAGATAAATTCGTGTGGCCGCTAGCGGGGGGGTACATGCCTTGCTTCACTAGTCTCATTAATAGGGTTCCCCCTTCGGGTACGGAACCCTAAAACATTGAGCTTTAAAAAAGTTTTTCATAAATGTATATATGTATTCGATTGTATAACGATTGTATGCCAAAATATATGGTTATATTTTAATATGACTTTTAGAATAAGTCAAATAGAAATTTCAAACACATTCAATTAAAATAATATTTACTTTGGCAAAATGGACTAGGTTTTTCAAACTTATTACCATTTGCAGAACTTGTCGTATTTGTTTGTAACATATTTTTATTATACGAATTAACCAGCACAAGTATCGAATTCTGTTTTTACACGGTTGTCAAGGTACACAATTATTACTAAAAAAATAACTGCCGCAGTCTTTTGTCGTTGGCAAGGAATTTGTATTGCTTCGGGGGCAATATATGTACCAAGCAGAACATCGAATATCCCAAACTGACGTTTTAAGATCTGTCTTCTGTTTTATGCAACGAGAGTACTAATAAATGCAAATACTAGACGAAAAATTTTTCCGTGTATTAATCCGCGCAATACTATATAATATTTTATTAAAAAAATGTTCATTTATTGCTTACATTCTTAAAAATGAAATAGATATCACTTGAACTCACATTTTTTAAACGCAATTTTTTGTATCTGTACCATGATGGAGCTGGAATTTCATCAATTGATTCAGGTTCTAAATACTCTTTATATTTCTTGTATCTTTTCATGTTGAAATCTCTAAACAATTTAATCTTTATTAAATTATCTTTATTAAATTTACAACCTAAATTTACTCTTCATATATTTCAACTAAATATTAAATAATTTTTTTATGTTTAAATTATAATTATTTAATTTTCATACAAATTTTAAATAAACGCATTACATGAAAATATGTAAATTCACCATTTCTAAATTAAAAATTTAATATCAATACTTACTTTCTCAGGAAATAGCAGGGAAGTAAATAATTCCAAGTTAATCAAATTTAAATAATGCACATATAAAACTCAATATAATTAATAAGAGTTCAGAAAATTTGTATAAAGCTTTGAAAAGATTTTCAGCTCTCTAATACTTTTTACACTTAAAAAGTTTTAATTCTTTAATTTAATTTTATTTTTTTAATTTTTAAAAATATTTTGCCACTAATTGAAATTTAAATTTCGAACGAATGAATAATTTAAATTTTAAAATGGCTTCCTGTTTCCTACGAATATTTTCTTACGTCAAAATATCTGTCAAAATATATTTCAATAAAACAAAACAAAATATCTTAGTTACCATAGTTACAGTTATGACAGCTGTTTTAATGACACTTTTTAGTTTACTATACATTTGCGGATAAAGATCATTAAAAATGCCTGTCTCACACGCATACGTATATTATACGAATGGAAACTATAAAACTGTGCCAATTACGTTAATTTCAAACTTTCATCCGAAGCACGACAAAGATTTTCAACCAAATAAAAAATATAAAATATGGTTGAAAAGTGACGACTCTGAAAAAAGTCAAATTTTACTCAATGCTTACATTTTAATACTGGGAAGTAAGTATGAGTATTTTGAAATAAATTCAAAATTTTTTAAAGCTTAAAATAATAATTACCTAATAAAATTTTTTACTAACTTTAATTATTATGGTCCTATTTTAAGAAATAAATGTTTTTGATTATTTTTATTGATCTTTGTATATTATTAAATAAATTGATTTTATTTTTACCTCAAAAATTTTTGAATTAGAGAAATGTATTTACTGCTATTTGGTTAGTTTAGGCAGTATGAAGAATATTGAAAAAAAGAAAAATGAGTCTCGTATAAAATTCCCCAATATGAGAAATATAAGCTTCACATCGTCGAATGGAAAGATTAATAAAAGTAAAAAAATCACAGAAACAGTGAAATCCAAAGTGGTGAGATTATATAAATAAATAATTTATCTTTACATTATTTATTATTAATACCTTTTTAAAATTAATATTCATGTTCAGTGTGGACTTAGATTTTAAACTTTTTTTTCAACTTCAAATATTCTTTTTATTCACAATGTCGAAAGTTCAACTGAGAGAATTCTTCTCGCAGTAAAGACATTTTATATACCAAATATTAAAATTAAAAAAAATTATTTGTAGGTTGAGAAAAAGAAACTTAATGCTTTGAGAGATGCAGCGAAACGAAATGAAGGAAGAAGTATTGTTGACCAATACAATAAACTTAGAAATTCGCGTAAATCACTTGTGGAATCATAAGAATTACAAAATTTTAACTCTATGGGAACTCAAGATACAATGCTAATCAGTCCGAGCATATCTGATACTTCTAATTGTAGTCGCAGTATTATGAGTGGTATCCCCCACAGCACCGAAAATTTCCTGAAAATTTCCTAAAGATTTATTTGCAAACTTCGGAAACTTTAATTGCAAAGTTTAGAGAAAATTGTATAAAGATTTAAATGTCCAAAATGAGTAAATGTTTGGCGTAAAACTTGACGGAAGATTTAAATTAAATTTTCCAGAAATTTTCGACGCGAAAATTGAGTTAAGATTTAAATTAAAGTTTCGTGAAATGTTTGGTGTAAAAGTTGACTAAAAATTTAAATTAAATATTTATTAAAAATTTATACCGAAAGTTGAGTGAAAATGTAATTTAAATATTCAGTCAATTTTTGTGACGAACATTTCCTAAAAATTTAAATTAAATTTTCAGAAAAGGTTGGACGAAAATATTTGTAAAAAATACAAAAATAATATTTAAGAAGGATTAATATTATTATTAATATTAATAATAATAATACATAGATAGATAGATCTTTATTATTATTATTATTATTATTATCAATAAAAAAAATTAACTATCTGGGATTAAAAATAAAATAAATAATATACATTGTTGCTCTGCTTTGATTCACATTGAATCAAGCACTGCATGCTTGTTGAGCAAGAACTTTTGAAAACAACTTTAGGGGTGCTGGGGATTGAACCTACATTCGCCGCGCGCTAGCTAAAGACTCTAACCACTACACTACAGATATCTGTCTGAAAAAAAAATCTTCCACACACTCTACAACTTACTGATAGACAAGTGATCCTACTTATCGACTCAAAAGTCGATAATATAAAGTTGTAGTGTATGTGGAAGATTTTTTTTTTTCAGCCAGATATCTGTAGTGTAGTGGTTAGGGTCTTTAGCTAGCGCGCGGCGAATGTAGGTTCAATCCCCAGCACCCCAAAAGTTGTTTTCAAAAGTTCTTGCTCAACAAGCATGCAGTGCTTGATTTAATGTGAATCAAAGCAGAGCAACAATGTTTATTTTTATTTATTTATTTTATTTATTGAAATTAATCCAACAGTCCGAAGACCAATAATAGGATTATACAAATTATACATAATAGATAACAAGAATAATAGTGTGATATAAAATTGATGAATTGCGCGAAAATAATATGTAGTAAAACAAAAAATATAACTAAAATTATTAAATTTAACAACAATAATTAACAAAATAAAGATTTTAAGAGTAATCAAATTTAAATTCGCGCAAAAAAATATAAATGTGATAGCCAGTCTTATTCTGAAACGTCCAAGGAAGAAGATAAAATACTTAGCTTTGTATTCAATCCTCTAACATTTTGATAATAAATTAAAAGATCATTAAGCAAATCCAAATTTGTGATGTGAGTACAGTTAAACGTAGATAAAGTATTGGAAAAGTTAATCTGAGATTCTAATCTGCTGTTTTCACCCGAGATTTCACTATTGTTGATTCGCCCCGAATCTCCCTGATCTTCAAATTCGTTTCCCCAGCAAGACGACGATCCGCTAAAATTTTCAATGTCGCCCTGAGTTGAGTTCTCTGAATGAGAGTACGGTCCTGGGATAGATGTAGCTTCACAGACGAGCTCTGTTCTGTCTTTTTCCACGCCCAAAAGGCTGTCAACGTATCCATCTTTGTTTTTTCCACCACAAATGATATTTTGATTGGACGAGGTGTTCCCAGGTTCTGTTTATAATTGCCAATGCGATTAATTTGGTAATCATCGTTTTTGAGTTTAGAATTAATAGAAAGCAGGAATTCGTTAACTTTAATAATGTCTTTTTTTAATATATCAGAGCTGCTAGGCTTACCGTCAACATGAACCTCAGGGCAGCCAAACAAGATAAGATTTTGTTTCCTTTGAATTCTGTCGGATATCTCAGAAAAAACTTGTGATGGTGTGAGACCACTATCGATGTGTTGACAAGCGTTATCTGTACTTTGAATCTCCGAAACCTGTAGTTCGAGGTTCTCAATTCTTTCAAGAGCATTATCGAGTCTCTCAGAATGCGATGAAAGTGCGGTGCTTAAAGTAGCGAAATCATTTTGGATGGCATCTAATTTTTTAGTAATAAATTCTTCCGAATCTTTTTTTGCTTTTACATAATGATTATCAAGCAGATTGCTAATACTTTCAAGAGTCAATGGCGGTGCTGTTGGAGATAAAGACCTTTGGGAAGGCTTAAATGGACAGCATTTTCTCCTTCCAGTGGATTTACTAATGGAGAGATTAAAACAGCCAGGATGGTAAAATGCACCGCATGGACATGAGGACGCTTCACCCGCTATGTTAGCGTTACACTGGCTACAAGATCTATCCGACATTTTAGTCTAATGCCCAATAAAGAGCAGAATCAGACTGAGAGACACTGCACAGTATAAGCACAAAGTAAAAAACTGCAGAAAAGTACACTTCAAGTCACTATTTATCAAAATATAAGTGTAAAATTGTAACACTACAGGATTCCGCAAAAATAAAAATCACAAAATACAATAAACTAATGAGATTTCAATGAGAAAAACACACGAGAGTCAGGAGCGACTCATAAACACGTGTTGCTCCGATAGTTGTGTGTTGAACAAGTGTTTGTATATTATTTATTTTATTTTTAATCCCAGATAGTTAATTTTTTTTATTGATAATAATAATAATAATAAAGATCTATCTATCTATGTATTATTATTATTAAGGAAGTTCTCTCGCAAACAGAAATGACGAAGAGTTAATTATCAAACTTGATAAACTGATAGATAATGGTTTAAAGAAGATGTAGTTAAATTTTTAGAGGTCTAGGTGGATTTTGACAAAAGATATAAATAATTTTCTCTTTTCATATTTAACACGGGTTCTTATGGGAAATTGAATTTTTTGGTCTGAAATCTCAAATTGTGAAAAATCTGACGAAAAGATATTACTGGAACTTTATATACATAAAGTTTAATAGCCAATGTTCACTTACTTTTAATAAAATTGATCAGACCTGGCTTAGGAGACTCACAATTAATTATTTTGTCTAAACAAACACCGTAATTTGACAATCAGAAATTACTTAGCACAACGCTTGTCAACGTTGCGTCTTGTAGGTTAGGTATAGAAAAAGCGCGAAATTTGAAAGTAATATAAGTAGTATATACATATAATAGTATATTCTTCAAAGATTCATAATAATGAATAATAATTTGAATTTGCTTATAAAAAATTAAGATTTTTAAAATAATAAATTATTATTATTATTATTTAACGAAAATAAATCAAACAATAGCAGACGACACGAAACGGAACGGGGGAAATATAATCCAACGTTGCCAAGCGTTGAGCTAGTACTACGTGATACAAATGAAAACTTAAATGGGCATTGATTTGACTGACGTTGGAGGGAGAGAACTTCCTTAATATTAATAATAATATTAATACTTTTTAAATATTATTTTTGTATTTTTTACAAATATTTTCACGAAACTTTAATTTAAATCTTCACTCAATTTTCGCGTCGAAAATTTCTGGAAAATTTAATTTAAATCTTCCGTCAAGTTTTACGCCAAACATTTACTCATTTTGGACATTTAAATCTTTATACAATTTTCTCTAAACTTTGCAATTAAAGTTTCCGAAGTTTGCAAATAAATCTTTAGGAAATTTTCAGGAAATTTTCGGTGCTGTGGGGGATGTAATATTTTATAACATTGTATTTTTAAGATATTTTTTATTTTAATTATTTTGAATAACAGACTGCGGCGCATCAACTTCTGGCAGTAATCACAATCAGCAAACTCCACAATCTTCTGCAAGTAATAATGGACCATTTAACGAAGAATGGGATTCTGATATTGAGACTGCTGAGGAAAACCTTCAAGAATTGGTAAAAATTAAATAATAATATTTTCTCGTCGCCAAAAAATATTCTAATTGAAAAGCAAAGAATTTTTTATTATAAGTCAAACAACTATAAATTAAAGACTCATGAAATCCTTCTAAATCAAAAATTCAGATTAATCAACTTGAAAAAGAAAATGCGAGACAAGTCGGAAGTCCTGGTGGATCAAATACAAGAAGAAATGGAAATGACGAACAACAAATGGCTGGTGATTTGGTAAAAATATATTGAATTAATTAAATTAAATTGATTAAACAACTTCCTTTTGAATTTACATTCTTACAAGTCTTTTAAATTTAATCTCTACATAAATATGAAAACAATCATTTTCAGGATGCACCACCTAACCAAGCAGTTGCTAGACAAGTTGGAAATCCTGGCGCTTTCTTAGAAAGAAGAAATGGAAACGGAGGACAAATACAAAGGGCTGACAATTTGGTAAACATAAATAAAATAAAATAATAATAATGAATAAATTCAATTGATTAAAAAATAAAGAAAAGTCTAGTTAAATTCTCATTATAATTCAATATCATTCAGAATGCACCACGTAACCAACAAGTTGTGAATCGTGCTGTTTTGTTGCAAGAAAGAAACAGGAATATATATGGCTCTGGAGAAAGATTGCAAAGGGCTGAGGACTTGGTAAAGTTAAAAAGTTAAAAATAAACTTAAAAAATTTTTTATTTTATAACATTTTTTTGATTTATAGGAAGAATAATTTTTATTAAATAAATTATTATTATAAGAGGTAAAATTCCTGCTTCCTGTAAATGAAATTTAATTTAAAAAATAAGTCGTACTTCAAGAATTTCAATCGAAATATGAAAAATCTCAATTGAAGTACGAAACTAATTTACTTAAAAATTGAAGAAAATTTCCATTTTATATTTTCATTAAATTTTATTTAAAGTGAGAATTTTTTACTCTTTTTGAAGTGAATGGGGCTTTTAAAAAAATAACTCGGCGTTATATTATTAACCTTTTCATTTTTGTAGATATATTTGACTCCTAACACACCAATTCATAAAGACATTTATGAAATGATGAAAACAAGATCGGACGCACGATTCGTAAGGAAATTAGCGGTGAAACTTTGGGGAACAGAAAGCCTTCAGCAACGTTGCATGAATGCGGAGAGAGCTAACGCACACAATAATACAGGAGTTCCATGAACACCTCTCACTCCTGAAAAATATGAAATTTTGAAAGGTGGAAATAAAACTTATTCCCTGAAATACCCTTCCCCCCCATTCCCTCTGCCTCTCTCTTTTTTTACTCTGAAATATTGTCTCTCCTGACCTTCTAATTCTGTTGAAAATTGATGAGAATTTATGAAATATATTTGCAATACCTAAATTTTATTTTTCTATAGATCGCCTTTATGAAAAAATCACGGAATCAGGAGCGGAGGGAAAACAAAGAGCGTTACGCATGAAGAAGCTTCCGAACATCATAAGGGCTAAATTGTATGATGTCCGTCGTCGTTTAGAATTATAAGTTTACTCACGTTGAGAGATTTGTTAGTTGAGATTTTTTAAAATGTTAAATGAATTTACCGTTTAAAATTTAATCAAAATGTTTTATTTTTTATTTCGTTTCACACGTTTCAAATCTTTTAATTTTCTACAATAATTATTAATTTAATTATTGTGTCATTTAAATACCTTTGTATTTTAAAGTGACTGCTTAAATAAAATTTTGATTACTTACAATTAGGAATCTTACGATTTTCACTGACTTTTAGATCGCATAAATATTTAAATAATAATTTGCATCCAATTTTAAATTAAAATTAGATGTTATTTAAAAATTGAGCTTGGAACTTTATCTTTAATTTGATGGTTATAACAAATCATTTCAGAAAATAGTCTAAGTACATATAATTTATCAATTTTGTGATAGTAAGTTATCAAAATATTATTATATTTACAACAATATAGTGTATATTATAAATAATATAAAAAGAATAAAATATATTCTTAACTACATACAAAATTATGAAGTTTTGTATGTATGCCACATTGGAAACAACAACGTAAACCGCGTTTTAAACGATGCCTTAAATCAATCGGATATAATAAACAATGTCATATATCAAGTCGGAAGCCATGTCGTAAACCACGTTGTAACCAGTCGTAGACTATTACACTGGTTATAGAATAAATCATAACTGTGTCTTGAAGCATTATTAACTCTCACACCGGGGATATATACTATCATACGTGTTTATGTTTACCTTCTTATCAATCTAGGCCTTAATTTGCTTCGGTTCTGAGAAATTAATAAGTTCAAAAATGTGGTTGAATGACCGTAAACATAAATGTTTAGATAGTGATCACCCACATTACATAAGTTATACAAAAGAAAGAATTGCTATTGTCCAAATTTAAAGGGACATTGTATTGTCAAATTTAATTATTTGATACAATGGACACGTGCCAGCTAAGTCAACAGATATGATTGTAATAATATAATAGAATTATTTAAATTAGATCAATTCTTAAATTTATTATTTCTATAGATATATTTGAAAGAAAATATTTATTTTGTTTTTAGAAAACTTGTTGCTTGTTTACCAAATTAGAGGAATCTTTCCCATAATTATTCGGTAGATCAGCTGTTTATTTTCTTATTCACTTCTACTTTTATATATGAATAAATGGCATATATTGTTTCGAAGTTGAATATTTTTACTTTGCAAAAAAAATAAATATTAATTATTAATAGAAGAATAAAATATACAATCAATCATATACTATAATCATTTATTATTTAAGTTTGAATAATTAATTGTGAGTTCGTTCTGAGTGAAATTAAATGAAATAATTTTATTGATTAACTTAAATTTTTCACCTTTTATCTGACTTCTTTTAACGAATTTTCTTTTCCTCAATCAAAATTCAAAATTATCTCGCAGTCTTATTTACAACACATTAAAATGATCAAAGTCAAATGGAAAATAAATGAAAAAGTCATTTACCTCTCTGAAAATTTGCTAAATAAATAATTTAAGTAAATTATTTATTTCCTAGATTAACTAATTGATTGGAGGGCAGAGATTCATAATCAATTGAATCTTACACATTAACAAATTGATCGCCTATTGCAATGAATTTGAGATATATGTATCTTCAAGAGACTTACGATTTGCTTTTGTTACCACTTAAGGATCCAGATAATGAGGTGGTACTCCGAGTTATCAGAAACCCCTCAAGTCTTTCACCATGGCTTGACTTTGTAGATTATATGGTTTGAGTTAAAGTGATTATTCACTTTTCGTTTCTTCTACTTGCCTAATCTTGACTTTAAATTTATAATTTGTTCAAAATATTTATTTCTTATATAATTCTGAGTTGGAACGGTTGTTAAGCCAGCCTCTCAGATATTATATAAGATTAAAAAAAATAAATAAAAAATATAAATAATAAAAATTTAATATTTTAAATAATGGAAAAAATTTTATT